TCAGCTGCAGAACCTGCTCTGGTGGGGATCCATCCTCACCCAGCTGTTGTACTGGTCCTGTGGCACTTTACTACTCAACCTGTGGCCTTACAAAGAGAAGCTATTTCATTCCAGAGGAAATGGACGTGGACAAGAGGCTGCTTCACTCCTTAAAGCAAAGTGGAAGCAATGAGTCATCTCACCTATGACAGTGCAGTGTGCCCACACTGTTTCCTCTGCAGGAAAGTCACCTCTCTGCATGCATGGAGCAGTGAGTAGGACTTGACAGCTGTTGTCAAATGCAACAAGTGAATCAAGTGCAATAGCAAACAAAAAATCCTTTCTGTTAGAAACTACTCTGCTCAAAAGTGGGGGAAAAATCCTATGCATCTTTGAGATGCATACAGACATCAAGTATCAAATCCACACCTGGAGGAGACCTTAGTGCTTGGCATCATGACCTCAAGAGATGCTTGTTTCCCTGAGTGATGTCCTGCTCTTTCCTCCTGCCAGCTGCCAGCAGAGCCGTTATTTCCCTGTGTTTTGCTTTGGTTAGCTGTGGTGGTTGTGCACGCAGCGATGGCACTGCTTCCTGTGCTAAACATAGAGATGGAACCTCAGCAGAGACACCGTGCTGTTTCTGGAGTCGGGAAGCAGGGATTACAGCCCAGCCTCTTTGCTGTCATGGCAATGGAAATGCATGTCAGAGATAAGGGAGCAGAGCTGATTAAGGTGATACTGGTGATTGCCACAAGGTATGTGACTCAGTTCCCTCAGGCAGCTAATGAGGACAGTGACCTGGAGTAAAGCTCCAGGCTCGCTCCTCCAGTGTTCATGGGATGAACAAAATGCCAAGGAGCACCTTTTAAAAACTAAGAATATCCAGTACAGAGACAAAGCAGGAGAGAACTTTCAGAGAGAACTTTTTAGTCCTCCTCTCTTTAGTAGGAAAGCTTTTACCCAAGCACTATTTTTACTTTTAGCAACCTTTTAATTGGTGCAGGAAGGTAATACCTCTCTCTAGGAACATCAGCACTGAACTGTCCCAAATTACCATGTTACATCTGCTTGAGAGAGTGCAATTGTAAAGTCATTTGTCACAATCTTACTAACTTTTTGTTTCAGAAGTGAGTTTAAGGGAATTCTCACATGCTGAGCAATTCAGAACACCTGTCAGGAAGTACCTTTAGCAAAGTGGAATTATGGATTTGGTGTATTCTCTGAAATAAAACTGGTTACCCAGCAAATAAAGACATAGTTTACGTCTGCCATGTAGAAGAATCTTGCTAGTGTCCTCTAGTACTGTAGGTAAATTCTCTTCTGCCTTAACCTCCATCTCTGCCCTTTATCAGTTAAGAGTCCTTGTCAGCCTGAATCCTGATTAACAAAAAAAAAGGAAAATAGTTTTAGATGGTAAAAATATCACTGATATTGCATCTCACTTTTTCTAACACTTGAATACAAGGAAATAGGAAAACTAAGTAGTAATACTGGTGATGATTGTGCTGCCCATATGATGAGACATGTCTTTCCAAATGTTGGTGAGGTATCTGGACAAGCTATTAAATTTTTTTAAGAGAACTTTCTAAGAAACAGAAACCAATAGTTTTCCTTAATTCAACACTATTAGCAACCTGCTCGAGTCAAAGGTGAGATGAGCTTTAAGGTCCTTCCAACCCAAACTAGTCTGTGATTCTATGAACTCTGGAAAGAAATACTGGGAATGAAATAAATGTATTTCTTTAGGTATGAAGTTTTCTCTGATAATAAAGCCATCCCTTACTGATTTCAAAGTCCACTGGAAAAAAAATAGAGAATTCGGCGCTTCTCCAAATCCAAGTACTCCTACCTATTTAGTAAAGGATTGACTTTTCAGAGGGCAGTCAGATGGTCAAGTAGCTGAGTAGAAAATGCTCCAGATATTCTTTAATTTTTATTAAGATTCTTATTAATTCATATTCTTATTAATGTTCTTACATCAGAAATGCATTTCTGAGTGATGCTGAAGTTTCAAAAGGCTTTTTGGCTTTCACAGACAAATGTAATTCTCATCCCTTTGTGAGGACTGATGCAGCACTATGAAAGGACTCTTAATGTGTATCTGTGTTCTGTTTCCACCATTGAGCATCTTGAAAGGGACAGACCTGCACTAGGTGACTTTGTGGAACAAAGTCCATTAGCGCTGTTGGAAGAATAATTGATTCAAGTATGTGGTAGATAATGTGTTATCTGAATGAAGGAAATTTAAGTATTTACTATGAAAACAATTATGCAGAATTAGAGATAGAAGCAAGCAGTTAGCACCACACTTCAACACAGCACAGGACTGTGTTACAACCTAATCCCCACAATGCTCTGTTATTTTTCTTTGCAAATCTGTCTTTTAAAACCCTCTTTATGCTGCTGAATCCTGATAGTGGTTTTGCAGAATTTGGGGCCTAAGGTTTGTTTGTTTAGTAAAGTTTCTATGCTTAATGATACAGGAGAGATGTACTTGGTATAAAAAATGCCTTTTTTTGTTATACTTGCAGCTATTTTTCTGTAGAGATAAGAGAATCAGAATGGTAATCTTATACTGGGTAAGAATTTCCAGTCAAGAGCCAGGTAAATGGTTTATTTAAACATCACAGTGACTGATTAATATGTTAATATTTACAGCTTTGCCCTAGCTTTCTTTTTGTCAGATAGGCCTTCTGAGCAGGGCCTACCTTGTATTACAACTTATAGTAGAGTATCTTTAAATCTGGTTTCTGCTTAGACAGACTCTTGTGTTAGTTTTCTTGTTAGAGAATTGTCATAGATGTGACTTCTCAAAAATGTGGAGAGCAGAGAAGGCACACAGTTTGTAGACAGTCTGGCAAGTACCAGTCCAGGCCTCACTGCCCTTATCTTATATCTTGGACAACTCTATAAGCAGGTGCCAGGTACTTGGCTTTATCTTGTATTTTTGAGCTTCTGTTGTTGGTTTTCAGTGACTATTTTATTGTTTCAACAGGCACTGCAATGGCTGCAGGAGTTTTGCTGCAAAATGACCTCCCGTACACATCGTTGATAGAGAGCAGTTTGTATCTTGCAAATATGAGTTCAGGTAAGAACTTTTCTCTTATATGCCATTCATAAAATGTGCTTAGAGCAATTCTGGAAAAAATCCACAGAAAACTAAAAAACCCCCACAACCCAGAGGTGTTAACCTTGTTTATAAACTTAAAATATCTGTAACAAAACCAAACTGCATTACTTCATCAACACATCGTGGTGATAGCATGTTGGTCTTCTCTGTAATTTTCATTTTGCCAGGTCTCTTAATTGAAGAAACTGTGTTATTTTTTGTGTTGAGAAACTGCCTAGCTCTGAAAATACAAATGTGCCTTCAGCAAAACTCCCCTTGCTGATAAAGTATTTAAACTCTTACAGGATATAATTCGTACCATGTTGGGTGAGTGCTTGAAAATCCTGTTGGATTCAGTGGGGAAATAATGATGTGCAGCATTTTAGCTTGCTCATTTATGGTTCCACTGTCATTTGATATGTACTGAAGAGAAGTTTCTGGGAAAAGAAGGAAGAAGAATTAAATGCAAGAAAGGAATATAATTAATTAGAAAACATTTTACACATTTCCTGGATATGGGTAGCTCTTGAAATAGCCTTTTTCATCTCCTTTCACTTTCATACAACCCCCAAAGTAAAAGCATTAGTTAAATATTTCCTCACCTGCTGATATTGCCTTTATTGATGAATTAGAAGAGTAGTTCTGAGCAACAGCTCAGAGTGAGCTTTAACATTTTCCTTTCTTCATGCATCATCACTGCTGCTGTTTCAAGCCTGGTACCCAGGGCAAACCTTGTCACATCTCCATAGGAGACTGTTGGGGTGCAGCATTCAAAGCTTGGGCCCTCAATTCCTGGTCAGTACCCTTAAGAAACAGATTTTTGCCTGGTGATTTTTTCTCAGAAGAGCTTTCTCCTATGCAAATTTCTCTGTATAAGTTACTGGTTTTGTAGTGCGAAAGAAACACAGATTGAAGAGAGTATATATTTTGGGAAACTGCAATGGGATTGATTTGCGTGTTGAACAAAGTTAAAGTGGGTTTTCTTGATTTCTCCAGCCTTCCTCTTCCAGTGCAATCTAATGTACAAGCAGTGGGATGACCATGGCTTTTAGCATCACTATAGTCTGTTCTCCACACATGAGTATGCTGTGCTTTTGGGAGTGTTGCAATCTTTCTGGACACCTCATTCTCCTTCTTAGCACACTGGAAGCAAAGACAGCTGCAATTTACCATCTCATACCTACCTTCAAAAGCCTAAAGCACTTAACTGACACATCTTCTTCTCCCCATAATCTACTTTCTCTCAGGCTGCAGGGCTAACAGCTTGCTTAATAAAAAAAGCTGTGTCCTGAAAAAAACCCAGAGCCTTTTGTTTTGAATAACAAATTGTGTTTTGTTAGAAGATGTGAATGGTCCAGGCTAACAGTCTACAATTCATCATGTACAGAACCATTTCATCAGAAACAAACTAATCCCAATCATTGCACAGCTAATGATGCATTTTGGAGCTGCGAAGTGGAGGAGGAGAGGTGGTTGTGGAATGTTGAACCAAGAGGTGGGGGAGTATAATGTACTTCCTTACAGATCTCTCAGGAATCAGAGCCTCCAGCTACATTTTGATTGTTCGTTTGAATCAAGTACTTTGTGCCTGGGGGAGTTGTGAATGCCTATTATTTAGCTGGAACTAAATACTCCCATTGTTTATGGAAAACGTTTTCGTTGTTCCTAGTGCGTTTTCAAAATTATCTACTTGAAATGCAACTATTTTCATCGAGCAGCAGAACAGTTTGTCCCAAGCAGGCATTGCAGTCCCTTTGGCAGGAGCAGCCCCGATGCTGGCTGGCAGCAGCGCCTGCATCCTCAGTTACCATGGTGACAGCTCAGCCCAAGGGGACCGGCTGCCGGAGCACACACAGGGATGCTCAGCTCCCGCAACTCCAGCGCTGAGCAACTTCCCCCCGGGCTCACAGCCATGCAGGGCTCACCCCGCAGGCGCTCGGCAGTCAGCATTTTTAGCCACTTTTTCCAGGGCCGGAGGCATTCCTCCTCCGATCCCCTCCTGCGCCTGAGCCAGCGGCGCCGGAGCTCGGTCGTGGAGCTGCTCTCCTCATCGACCCACCGCGTTATGGTGGCTCTGTCGTCTCTCAGTCCCGAGGAGCTGGATGCAACTTTTCCGGAAAGAAAAAGTAAAGTACTTTTCATTAAGAGTCTTGCAGTTCTGGGTATCTTCTTGGTATTTATATATTTTGTTCTGTTAACTGTGTTATATATATCTATTTTATACATATATGAATAAAATAGTGGGGTTTAATTTTTGCCTGTATTATATATTCTGTTCACTGATTCCTTATTCAAAGATTAACACATGCTTTTCAGTCTAGCAGCTCAGCTGTAAACAGATAAAACAGAAGCACACATTCGTGTGTGCACCAAGTATGGGGTTAACTAATTTCCATTTCAGGCTGTGACTGTTTCTTCTGTTGCAAAGGATATAACACACCTCTAACCTCATCAGGAAAACCAACTTCTGCAGTAATGCAAGCAATTTTTTCCCCTCAGAATCCTCACCTGAAAAATGAGCCTGAAATATATATCCCATATATTTATGCTGCTTGTCATTTCATCAGTTTAAGATTGAACAGAGTCTTGTAAGGTGGAGATGAATTTCCAAGCTCCCTCAGTAAATGTGGGTTTGCCTCTGTTGTAGGGAGTTCGAGACGTCCCACAGCAAAGTACACCAAGGTGGGGGAGCGACTTCGGCACGTCATCCCTGGCCACATGCAGTGCTCCATGGCGTGCGGAGGACGCGCCTGCAAGTACGAGAACCCAGCGCGCTGGAGTGACCAGGAGCAAGCCATCAAAGGCCTCTACTCCTCTTGGTAAGGAGCAGCATTTGCTCTCATAGGATCTAACTGCAGCAGTTGTATTTCACAGAGTCAGTCAGGTTGGAAAAGACCTCTGAGATCATCAAGTTCAACTTCTAACACCACTTTGTCAACTAGACCATGGCACTAAGTGCTACATCCAGTGTCTCCTTAAGCAGTTCCAGGGATGGTGACTCCACCACCTCCCTGGGCAGCACATTCCAGTGTCTAATCACCCTTTCATTTATTAAAACAGAAAATTCAAAGGAAATAATGAGTTTTTTTCAAATCAGCTGCTGCTAAGTTATGTATAGAACATAATGAGAGCTTGAACTGGAATTACAGCTTAACATAATGGCCATTGTATGCAGCCCAGGAAAGATGATGAAAGATTTCTGTTGACTTACAATAGGTTTGGTTCAGATCCAAGAGAAGAAATGCCTATCTGCCATGAATTAGCTGTGCTAGGTTATAGGCAGTTCTTGCTAAGGTTTAAAATGCAAATTAATTAAAATGTGCTCATGATAGAATTAAAAAGCACAAGCATTTACTGCAGATGAACTAATGTGGGTATGTGTTCAAAAGAATATTCATATGCAGCAAGAGTGACATGAAATGTATCTTTACATTCTTACTGAAAGGAACAAACAGGGACCTGAGTCCAGATTTCTATTCAAAGACATTTTTAAACATGTCCATTAGCCTGGCATTTAAACGGTTCCAGTAATGGCCTTTTGATAATGTTGTATCAGCTTAATAACATTTATCACTAACACTATAGGATAGTAGAATATTTGCAAAAATATTTCTAGTTAGTCAGCAAAGTATTTCTGTCTTTCTGGAATAACAGTGTTCTTACTTTGGTAGCATCATACCCAGGAAATTATTCATAACAACATCCTTATCTACTTTTCTAATTTCTCAGGATAACAGATAACATACTGGCTATGGCTCGACCCTCAACAGAATTAATTGAGAAGTACAACATTATTGAGCAGTTTGAAAGGTAACAAATTTAGTAATTATTTATTGTAGGTATTACTAGTGTCATTCCTGATCCGTTTTCTCTTTCAACATAGATTTGGCTTGTTGGTAAAGATCCTTTCATTTTAACGCTCTACAGGTAAAAATTTATTCTCAACTAAGAATAAATGTGTGTTTCAGAAAATAAGGGATAATGAGATTTTGGCTGCATATAATATTTGATTCATCTATTCCTTCCTTAAGATGTGGCATAAAAACCATAATTAACCTTCAGCGTCCCGGGGAGCACGCGAGCTGTGGGAATCCACTGGAACAAGAGAGCGGCTTCTCCTACCTTCCTGAAGCTTTTATGGAGGCTGGAAGTAAGTTCCCTCCTGCTGCTCTTCCTCATTAATTATTGACTTTGGCACTTAGAGATATTTTTACTTGAATTCCTGTGTGTTGAAAGCAGCTATGTAAGAAACATTGTACAAAAGGGGATGTAAACATGAAACTTGGCAAATACAATCAATATCTTATATATGCAAAGTGAGATGGAGCATTTATGTTCAGGTGTTTAGAAAAGAGAAATAAAGAATAAGGAGAATACCTTGATAAATTTCCTTTTTCTTCTGAGTTCACAAATATCTGAACCTTTAATGGTGTTTCAAATTCCGGTACAATTCATGTTTTCTTATCCAGACTATAAAAGGTTATTTCATGTGAGGACATTTGCATCAACAGTATTTTTGTATTTTCACATTATGGTGAGAAGAGAGAAAGTGCCTCTTTGTAAGAAGCAGCTTTTCACTGAAGAAGTGCTTTTAATTCTAAAAAGAAAATTATTTCCCCTCTGCCTATATATAGCTCAGTAATTTTGTATGAATCACTCAGTTTTTGTTACACCTTTGACATTCTAGCTGAACTTCAGTTTGACAAATCTTTGCTAGCTTCATGTATTTATCAAAATTCAATAGCAAGCATACACTGAAATGGGAAAATAACCTCTTGCACGCAAGATGTAGCCAGATTTAAGCTCCATTATGCAATTTTAGTACTATAATTTATTGTTAGTCATCTCTCTTCTGCATATAGTACTACACATTTCACACTTGGTACAGCAGAAAATCACTGTCTCTCTTTTCATTTTAGTTTACTTTTATAATTTTGGATGGAAGGATTATGGAGTGGCATCTCTCACTACTATACTGGACATGGTAAAAGTCATGGCTTTTGCCCTGCAGGAGGGGAGGGTGGCTGTGCACTGCCACGCAGGACTTGGGAGGACAGGTATGTGCTCTACTGCAGGATCAACAGAACTGCTTTTCTAAAAATGCCAAACAGACTCTGGTCATAAGTCATTAATAACTGGTTTAGATTCTGTATCATTGCAACATGTGCATCTATAAAGTCATTAAAAATGCTAAATTACTTTGTCAAAATGATCTGAATGGCTAGAGGAGATGAGTTTTAGTATATTAAAAACAGAAACCTGTAAGTTTGGAAAATTTTTGCATCTATGTAATGATTCCATTAGATCCCAATGGGACAGGTGCTTTTAGATGGGAAGAATTCACCTGGTACACTTTCATTGTCCAGTATTTATCACACATTCACAAACCTGCCAGTCATTGTTAAATCGGGTAGATTTGGTAGAGCAGCTAAAATTTTATTTACTTCTTTCAAGTCCTTTTTGCCTGTCCTTCCTGTGGAAGTCCTTCTTGCTCCTGTGTTCCCAAATGATGGAACTTCTGGAAATGCTGTGGTGAGCAACTAGCCCTCACTGGAAGTGTAGTGAGAAGGATTTTACGATCTTGTGGTTCATCAAATGCAACTGTGATTATGTAACAGCATCACATAATAGAGGACATAAAACCTGTGTCTTTACCTATAATGATTTCTATCCTGTATTCCCACTGAGTGTTTGTTGTAGTCTGATAGTTCCTTAACTAGTCTTGTCCTTGTCTTTTCCAGGTGTTCTCATAGCTTGCTACTTAGTTTTTGCCACAAGAATGAGTGCTGATCAAGCAATTCTTTTTGTCAGAGCAAAAAGGCCTAATTCTATCCAGACCAGGGGGCAGTTACTGTGTGTCAGAGAATTCACTCAGTTCTTGGTACCTCTGCGGAATGTGTTTGCATGCTGTGAGCCCAAGGCACACACAGTGACCCTGTCCCAGTACCTGACCCGGCAGAGACATCTGCTCCACGGCTATGAGAGCAGACACCTCAAACATGTGCCAAAACTGATTCATCTGGTTTGCAAATTGTTGCTTGACTTGGCTGAAAACAGACAAGTGATAGAGGCAGAGCTATTGGATGTCCAGGACCTCTCAGCTGAGATCGAGGAGACTGTTTCTCGGCTGGTGTCCACACAGCTAGACCAAGAGTTCATCAGGCAGGACAGTGACGTGTCAGACTCCTCCCACAGCCACTCCGCTTTTGAGACCCAGGATTCTCAGTTCTCCCTGGGACATGACTGTGATTCTCTTTGGAAACGAAAGAATGTCGAATGCCTTCAGCCTCTTACTCATCTGAGAAGGCGTCTGAGCTATAGTGAGTCAGATTTAAGGAGAACTGAGTTTCTTGTAGAACCAGACGACACTGTCTGGAGAGTGCCTGCTCAGATATTACTGCACAACAAACTTAAACAGAACAGTGGTGAGGAATGTGAACCAAAGCCACAGCTGGGATTAAACAAAGAAGTATTAGTGCGTAACACATGCATGTTCTGGAGTCAAGGCAAATTTAATCTGGATGGACGAAGAGATGGATCCTCACTTTATCACAGAAGGAACTCTACCAAAGAAGTACAACGCAGCAGAACCTTTTCTTCAGGCCTCACCTCTATCCACAATCCCAGGGAACCTGGAACACCGAGAGACAACTTTGCCAATGAGATGGGTCATAGGAAGAAGTACAAGATTAATATGTATGGCAGAAGAATCTCTGTCTCTGAGGACTCTGATTCTTCTTCTTCTTCCAAAGCAAACTCTTCCATTGGATATGAAAGCCAAGGTAGCCGAGATGTGTCAGAGACAATTCCACACATTGTTGTGCAGTCAGAGCTAAGTTTGGAAGCCCGAAGAGTTTTAGCAGCAAAAGCACTTGCAGATATAAATGAATTTCTGGGAGAGGATGAAGTGAAGCAGAAGGTAGAAATGTGGCAGGTAATTTAAAACTTGACTCCATGTTATGGGCTCTGCATACTTCACCTCGGTTAATTCCTAGAATGGCAAAAATGCCACCAGGAACTTTGAAATGGTACATTGGGATAGCAGTTTTTATGTGACTCAGTGAATGATTGTATGTGTCAGTTATGGGCCAGTTCTTTCACAGGCAGGCAAAATGCACCCACACATTCTGATCTCTAGAAGGAGGTTAGACATCTCATTTCTGGTTGTGTTCATCATTTTACTAACTAAGGAAAATTGATGCCATTATCTGTGGTTGTAACTTGGCTGCTGGTAGCATAGAAGTAGTATAGATTTTAGGGTTTTTCATCAGCACTTTCTCAGAACTGATCAGAGGATTCTCTCAGTAAAAAAAAAATATTTAGTAGAAACATTTGCATTGCAGTTGGAATCCAAAGCTGGTTTACGTATTCCAGTAGATGACGGGAAGGTTCTCAGCTGCAATGCCTATGTCATCCTTCTGTTTTAAAGAATCACTTGTATTACTGCTGATTAATGTTGATGCTTTTGAAAAAAAGAAAGGATACCTTTTGTTTGGTAACTCTTAAGTCTTTTTTTTTTTGTTGGAATATAAGCAGCCAAGTACTACTACAGTCAAAGAGAATGTTGGCAAAGGAAAATAGGTGATGAATTTTCGGTTTTGTTTTGTTTTCTTTTGTTTTAAGAAAGAACTGAATTCTCGAGATGGAGCTTGGGATAAAATCTGCACTGAGAGAGATCCTTTTATCCTCTGCAGCTTGATGTGGTCCTGGATAGAGCAGCTGAAAGAACCTATTATATCCAAAGATGATGTTGACATGCTGGCAAAAAATTGCACAGAAGCACAGGATGCACTCTACTTGCTGAGAAAGGTAGATATTGGATCTATCAGTTCCTTCTTTAACTTTAGGCAAAGGAATTGCACTTTGAAAAAAGTCACTTCACTCTCTTTAAAGATCAGAATGAGAATTCATTCTGTATCCAGTGGTATGAGTTGTAATCAGTACTATGGTGATGGATGTTACAAAAAAAATGCCAGACACAATCTTTGAACACCATTCAGTAGCAGCTCAACTTCAGCACATTCCCCTGCAAACTGCAGCCTGAAATCCAGAGGCAAAGCTGAGAAACCTTTGCTCTGTGACTCCATGGATAGTTTTCCTTATGTCACATTTGGCTGGTGGACGTTATGGTTGTCCTATTTGCTGTGCAAACACTTTAATCTGGCAGCTCTGGAAGGGCTGGTGCAAGGAGCAGAAAGAATTTGCCATTTTAAAGAACTGGAAGTCAGGCCTAATTCCTCTACAGAAGTCAGAGCTGTGGCCACCTGTATTCTGAAACATACGTACTTCTAATTCAAACTGTTCAACTGTGCTTTCCCCAAAAAACTAGATACAGGGGAAATAAAAAAATAAATAAAATTTTCCATCCTTGATCTCTTAATTATACAAATTCAGTTAGTCATTCTTTGGGAATTCTCTGTTTCCAAAGTATTTATGAAGAAAATAGGGCACCTTTTATCTCTTCCAGATACCAAAAAATACAGCTTCTAATCAATAGGTAGTCAGAACTTTACCTGCAGTCACGATCTTCATGACAGGACCTCCAGAATTCCCAAGTTCACCTAGAAACATTGTGTTTCTTCCTGTAGCATTCTTCCACTCAGTGGTTTAACCTTCTATTTGTGTTAAACAAAAAAACTCCTGTTATCAATGAATGAGAAGGGAATAATTATGGGTTTAAAATTTTAAAATAGTCATTTTATCTTTCCTTATCTTACCCTAGACTATTTTAGAATCCCAGAATAGCTGTGTTGGCAGGGACCTCTGGATATCTTCTAATCTAACCCACATGCTCAAAACAGAGTTACCTAGAGTGGGCTGCTTGTATGGCAGATGCTCTAGTCCCTTAATTAGGGATGCTCTTAAGCTGGAAAAGGGATGGGAAGGAGCAGCCACAAAGATCTGTCGCTCCCTTTCTGCATCCTTGCAAGCACTGCTCAGGTGTCTCTGCCAGCTTCCTTTAGTGGGGATGGAGACTTGGAAAGACAGAGAGAGGTGCAAGGCTATCCTGCCTTAGTTGTGAAAGAGCCCTAAACATGCATGGCATTTGGGGATGAAAAGATCACATCTCACCTTTTCTGTGCCAATTCACATGAAGACTTCTCTTTGTGGAGGGGATCTTGAAAAGTAAGTCTCCAGTTGCAGGTCTGACCTCCTGAAAATTCCCAGAGCAGTTTGTGGTACACTAGAGAAGAGTTTTTCCCATCATGACTGAAATAATTATGTAGAGGCTCTTAGGCTTGTGGGAACTCCCTCGCTAACTCCTACACCTACAGGAAGGTACAGCCTGATATTTAAACAGCATTTAAGAAAACCTGGGAGTTATATGTTTTTTCATGGAAATATTCTTTCTAATGAGCTGCTGTTCCCTTCATCCACCAGGAACAGTGTCAGACTATCCTTTGTATTTTACACTGTGTGGTGAACTTGCAAATGTTGCCAGCAGATGTGGAGGAGGCCTTACTTGCTCGTGCTATTAAAGCTTTCACTAAGGCAAGTAACCTTAAATAAATGTCCATGACATGGTATTTACTTGGTTTAAATCTTGAAGGGGAAATCAACAGAGGAGGCCTCTGTGACAAAAGTTACACTAACTCCCTCACACTTAGTGTGAAGCTTATTTATTCCAGAGGTCACATTTTATAATAATCAGCCTACATAAAGGGGAGAAAATATTCTCAACAAAATTTAATTCTGTCACTGCAGCCTTAATCCTTGTGTCTCATTTTTCCACTTCTGGACCACTGTCAGTTCATGGACACGTTCAAATTAGGGAAAGGGTAATTTTTAAGTTGTGGGACTAATTCATCACTTGCAATAGCTTACCAGTTGGTAAATTCTGTACTTCTTTAAGTCTTTCCATCAGATTAAATAATTTTCTAAAATGACACTGCAATTCAGTTATGTTACAGGCCTGTGCTACAGGATGTGAATAAGTAACTTCTGCTTTTGGGATCATTCAGTAACAATGACAGGTGAAGCTATTGCTCAGCTCAGAGCAGCTTTCTTCTCAGATTCAGCTGGTGAATTTTGAATTTGAGCAGCATGTTCACCATGCTGCTTCCTAATCTCTTGTAAATCTACAGCCCTGTTACCTGTTAAAACAATCATGACAGTTCTCCTTCTACTAGTTTATTTTAATGTCTAGTCAGCATAGGACATTTAGCATGAAGCACTCCATCATGAAACACACCCTTTCTCTGATAAATCTTAAAGCTGCTTCTTTTAAATGTTGGGCATTTACTTTGCATTTTGCTGTATGATATGACATCTATTTAACAGCTGAACTGAAATTTCTCTCTTTTATTAGACAAGCCTTGATTCTGAAGATGGACCATACGTTTACGATACCTTGAAAAACGTATTTAAACAAACCCTGGAAGAAAAAAGGAAAAGGATTAAGGAAGGAACAGAGAATCCTTCTTGATTTATGCACAGCTCTGCCGAAGCGTTAGATGGGCCTACCAAATTATTTTGCATTTTCCAGCTACTGTATTTTGTGCTACCTGGCATGATCTACCTAAATTTAGGGAACAGTAGTTACTAACAAAGCATTTTAGTTTTAAGAGGGAGTTCTAGTGGCCATTGTGCAGTCTACACAGTTTTAAAGGACAGCTCCTGTGTGACCACACCCTGTAGCATTTGGTTTCAGGTACTGTGCTTTTATATTGTGAAGGGTTCTCTTGCTTTCAAATGTACGTATTGATTTAGAAAGCTCTGTCATTGGCAAGAAACTTTATTTTCAAGTTCCATGATTGCCACAAGTTCAGTGCCATGATCCACAAAGGTTTAATGGATTGAGTGAATGTTTATGTATTATGTATGTTTACATTAATGTTATTTGATTTTACTTTGCAGAAAATAAATCTTGACTGAACTTAGTAAAGTGCTTTTCCTTTGGAAATTTTAAAATAAGACCAAGAGTAATAATGGACCAATCTTGAGGCCTGCTATTGACAGCAGACAATGTTTTTCTTTAGATCTCTGAAATAATTGTAACCAATGTATTTCTAAAAGGTGTTGCAGTAGAGTTGAGTATTAGTTATCAAGCCCTTAATTTAGACATTTTTTGACTAAGAAAACTTTATAGAATTTTTAACAGAAAACTGATTGTGACAATTTAAGTGCTTCGAATAAGAGTAAAATTTTAGCTTATCAGCTAAATTTTTGTAGATCTTGAGTGAAAAAACACTTCATTATGAAATCTTAATATAATTATGTCCATACTTATTTCAGCAAAACTTGCATAGATAATGACATAATAATAACATTCATAAATAATGACATAATAATACTACAAAATAATCAATCAAAATCTTACTATCTGTAATTCATTTGTAGAGGCTTTTTTATCCAATATGACAGAAACAACTAGGACATCATCATAACTGCAGTTTTGGGTTACAGCCTTGGGATTCAGACTAGATTGCCAGTTTGCAGGATTAACATCCAGTTTGATATATTTAAGTAGTTAAACAAGAATCTTCCTTTTCCAAAATATTTTTATTTGGTACTGTAAAGGACTAATATTTAGAGTTAAAAATAGACTGGTTTGAAATAGATATAAATTATAGTTCTTCAACTGTTGGATGATTTTATATCAAATTCAGATCCAAACAAGTACCTTGGCAGAACCATTCCAAAAGAAGCACACTTGGAAAGGAAAATATCATGTGTGAATCACACTCACAAAACCAGCTTTGTGAAGAGGCAAGGCAAGTTGACAGGCAGTTCTGCCTTAGCATGCCTTAGCAGTCAGCCTTGGGAAAACTCAAATGCATTTGTGTCTTAGTTTCCCAACAAATTACTTTGGTTTACTACAGTTAACAGCTCCAAATAGCTAACATCAATTTCTGGTGCTGTTTATTTTAGTTATGTATTTTGGCTATTTATTTCTACACCCCAACACACTCGGGTGTGTAGAAACCAGACAAGCATTGTTTAGATCAGTGTAATGAACCAAGGCTTTCACATATCATTTGCTCCAGCTAGAATAATCTTTCTGAAGTTCAAGTCAGGTGTTGGCATTTGCAAAATTGCCTCCCTGCAGCCCATGTAAACTGAGAGTGTAGAACAGGGCAGTTTTTTGTTTAGCACATTTTTTGGTTTACTGACAAGTGTGTTTATGATCATGGCCAAACTGGCCACCACATCTGTCTCATAGATAAGACTAAAAATAGCCCTTTTGAATCAATAATCAAACCTACAAGCTTTAGCAGCATCTTACTAATTAGTGACCCAAGCGATGCAATTGTGTACCTGAAGCGAGCCCACAAGAAACATGGAGAGAGACAACTTACAAGGGCCTGGAGTGATAGGACAAGGGGGAATGGCTTCATACTGACAGAGAGTAGGTTTAGGTTAGATATTAGGAAGAAAATCTTCCCTGTGAGGGTGGTGAGACACTGGCACAGGTTGGCAGAGAAGCTGTGGCTGCTCCATCCCTGGAAGTGTTCAAGGCCAGGTTGGATGGGGCTTGGAGTAACCTGGGCTAGTGGAAGATGTCCTTGGTCATGGCAGACGGTGGCATGATGATCTTTAAGGTCCCTTCCAACTCAATCCATTCTGTGATTCTGTGATGATTCTGTGAAATGCTTAAACAGCAAATATTCCTTATCACTTTCTCATGCACTAAACCTGACTCACAGCTTTGTGTGGTGATGCAGCTGTGGGTGATGTGTGGGCAGATTTCTCTTCACACTGATAAGAAGTGCTGCCTTGCCATGCTGACACTCAAATCCTCACCAAATCCTGCTGCAGCAAAATGGCAATGGGCTAGCAGCAGAAGGGGACAGGAGGACCCAGCTAGCCTCTACTGCCTTCTTTGTTCTTCCAGAAAATTCCTCTCCCATTAGAAGGTCACCTCCATATCAGCAGCAGCCTCCCCTGCAACAACTACTGCAATAAACCACTGAAAACACATTCTCTCTGTTCACACTTACCACAGAAGTGCAGAATGGGTTCCCCAATAGTGCTGTACAGAAGAAACTGCTCTGCTCCTGCCATGCTGTCCATCTCCAAAACCATTAGGACTCTTCTTTCTTGGTCCTTTATTGCCCTACCTCCACCAGCCAGCTCACTCCTAACTTGTAGTAAGATATGGCAGCTACCAAAATATCACTAGAAGAACCCTGAGCAGAAAAACGTGCAAGTTAGGCCCTTTATAGCCAAATGCCTCCTTCCATGGTGTCTGCCCTCATGCTCTGCCACCTCACACACCAGAGCATTATTCATGTACTGCAGCCTATAGTTGGGGTTTTGCAACATTTTTTAGCATAGTCAGCAGGATTCCTGTGGATAAATTAAAATATGTGTGCACCATCCCAGGCTGGAGTTAAATAGGCCAAGGAATTTTGGAAAGATGAGGACAAGGTAGTAAAGCAAATAGAACAATGTAAAAATCAGCAGCAAGTATAAAGAGGAAAAGGTGAAGGAGTTATTTGTGCTGTTTGCGGGGGTTGTTTTTCTTATGTGCAAAAGGAAATCAAAAGCTCCCCCACCCCAAAAAGATTGCAAATGTGGAATATACTCCATAGCAGAGTCTCAGATCTTTGTAGCCTTAGAACAATTTTATCATGGTGCAACAACAGCTCAAGCTGGTGCCCCTGAGGAGGGACCCTGAACGAAGATGGGCTTTTATACCCTTCCA